CTTTGATTAGTTGCAAAATCTAAACATTAGTGAAATATTCAAACATATGGTCAGTGTTTTGAATCAGAAAACCTTAATTCTTCATTTTGTGAAACAATTCACTGTCCCTCATTAATGCTGAATTGATTTATTTTGTATCAGTTATTTTACACCAAGCCATGTCTTTGTGATGTGAGATAGCTTTGTCAATACAAGAAATGGTCCACAAAGAGCTAAACACTTAAGAAAATTTAATCAGATTTTATAATAAAAGTTTAAATGTACATCTTTACACAATCAATTACAAAAAAGCTGTATATTATACTGACTTCACACCACTAGTCACCAAACCATAAAAGATTCAGAATCAGACAGTGAACAATTTCAATCTTTTACAAAAAGAGAATAAATAAAAATACATGATTTTCCTTTATCACTCTGTACATCACCAACAAAAGACATCTGAGGTTGCCAGGTGACAGTCTGCTATTTTCGAAGGTTGCTTAGTGACAGCACTGCTGAACGTCAGCTTTGGGTTGCACATTTAAGCTTTAGTAATATATCCTTCTTGTATCAGGAAATCGTAGATCTTTCTGGTTTTGTTCACATCTATTTTAATGAGAGTCCTTGCCTGGGCTAGTTTCAGACCACCTAACCTGCTGCTCTCGTTCATTAAAGCTGACTTGTATTCCAAATATGCTCCTGGGACCAATCGTACCATCTGGCACAGCTATGAGATAGGTGGGTAGAAAAGATCCATAAAGAACGTTATTCAAACACATTGATCATATATTAAACTTATACATATAGATCTTGTGATTATAGGAAGAGCCTTCCTTGCTATTTGATAAACATTCCATCTGTCTGTCTCCTGAATGTTGCATTTCCAGTGTTTTCCATTATCATAAGTAATGTTGAAGTTTGTTTTTTCATTACTGCTGCCAAAATGGAATGGAATTGCAGAAGATGTCAAAAAAAGGAAGGTTAAATGGTAGCCTTTTGTTTGGAACTAATTAAATAACTTCCCCCTCAGACCCATGAAGTGAAGGATTAATTTATAATTAGGATTTCAGAATCTCAAGAAAGTAGACCAATGCATGTACCTCTTTTTCCTTATCATTGAGCTTCTCTGTTCCAGGAAGACCTGTGAGGTTCAGTGGGGGTGCATTTCTCCTACCTGCTCCATCCATAATGAGAAAGGGACACAAAATCATTAAATCAGTACATCAAAAGGAGCATTTCCTACTTTTCTATTCTGCTGAAGCTACACCTGCTGGAAAACCATTTCAGAATTACTGAGTGCACACGTTCTTATTACTTTGATAATCTCTTAAATATTTCAAAGTGCTTCATAGACAATAAATTACTCTGACTTAATCATCGCTATTACAAAAGCGAGAATAAAAAGCCATGTGAAATCTGCTGAAAGTTAACAAGCATTCAAAACAAAGGGTGGGACTTATGCTCCTGTTAGTTCAATCACCTTTCTTCCTCTAAGATAAACAGTAAATTTAAAACTACAGGAATCCATGGTAGTTGGGATTGGATCAGGAACTTTATTGCCAGAGACGAATTCAGATTGACGGGAAAATTGGGTGCTGAGTAGGATCCTGAAATGACAAACATTGCCATCCTGTTCATACTGTTGATGATCGAACTTGCTGACATTAAAAATCGTGGAGAACAGTAGGGATAAAAATAGAGCACAAGAATTATAATAATTAAGACAGCAAATTCAATTAGACAGACTATTGGTAAATGAAGGTAACATTCAAGTGAAACAGTTTAACCAAACTGTAAACAATCTTAGGAAATTCAGCATGTCCCACTGGAAAGATGGGCTCAAAGATACACAGGTTGAAAACAGGATTACTCCACTGTAACAATAATTCTGATTCATGCATACTTCAAGTATATTTCCCTTCTGGAACAGGGAGTCTGCTGAACCTAACTCATAAATTTAAATAAAATGGTGTCAACAGATGACGATTTTGAAAAGAACTGGGTGCAGTGACAGACAACCTGAAGATAATGATAAGTCAATGACATGTCTTGCACAAGCTGAATGAGTCCAGCATTTTATTTATTTCAGATTCCCAGCTTTCACAATGTTTTACTTTTGCATTAGTTTTGCATTCACGATGAAGCTGACTGTTACAAGAAAGGGATACTGAGATTTGATAAAAAATATTCTTTCACAGTAAAGTTCATTCAAACACAAATTCAAACAAGAAAAAGCACTTGTTTGAAGTAAACAAATGTTGCCTGCATCACAAAATGAAAAATAAAACAGTACTAGGAAAAGAGTGATCTGTTGTTTAAAAATTCATTTTTTAAAACTGGTATGACAATGCTGCCAATGGTATTTTCCAGTCTCAATGATAGGTACGTAAAAGTTAAGATTACACGTCATATTGATACATGAGTTACTGCTTTCATAGTTTGCAATTCTTTTAACAATCTACAAATTATACAGGAATGCACATTTCTCTAATGAAGAAGGCACAGAAAAACATCAAGATATAATTTGCACATCCAACTGGAGAGTAATAGGATTTTCAAATATATAAGCACTAAAATCAAGAAATTCCTGTACATTCAAAATTCCAAAATTAAAAAGAGTAAAACAAATGAGATTAGTCCTTATTCACAATATATTCTGAAAAGAATAAGTGCCAGTTTGTTTTTGAACAGAATATGTAAAATTTCTGTGCGCCTGTGCTCGTAAATTTATTGTATCAATTTAACTTCGTCTTGATACTATGCAAGTCGTATGTACAATTTCAATTATGTACAAACCAGAAGAAGAAAAATATACTGGTTCATTCTGGCGGTCTAACCTCTTCTATTCTAAAAAAACAAACTGTTAATATATTGAGTTGGTCAAACTTTGTAGTGAAATGATACAAGATGAAATGCTGGTTAATAAAATTAAGGCTTATGAAATATGAGAGCAAGTGTGCAAATGAAAAAAAACTGGCTTTTAAAAACTTTGTCACAAGATGCAGTCATTGTTCATCCTGAATTATGACCTTCTTGAACCACTTCAGCCTACATGGTACAGGTACGCCGTAATACTAGAAATAAAGTTTCAGGATTTTCACCTACTGACAGCAAAGGAACAACAATATACTTCAAAGTCAGAAGGGTATGTGGCTTGGAGGGGAACTTGCAGGTGGTTGTGCTCCTATGCATTTCTTGCCTTTGTAGATGGTATTTGTTGTGGGTTTGGAAGGTGTTGTTGAAGGAGCCTCGTTAAGTTGCTGTAGTGCATCTTGTGTATGGCACACAACACTGCTATCATGCTGGAGGACAAAGCAGCAAGTCATGGTAGATGGTTGCTTTTTGATGGGGGAATGGTGGATAGTTGTGTTCCCCAAGGGTCAGTCCCAAGACTATTTTTTTTTGCTATATATAATTACCTTCGACCAAAGAGGAAAACTTCAAAATTTGGTGATGATACCAAAGTTGGAGAAATGAGGATGATATGAATTGCCAGCAACAGGACACAGATATACTAGATGAATCAGCAAACAAGTGGGAGGTGCAATTCAATTAATTAACTTAACCCACAAAAATTAAACTGTATGTTCGGTGGTGCATTTTTGCAGAATGCAGAGGAGAGGCAATACAGATTTAATAGTGCAGTTCTAAAGAATGTGCAAGATTAGACGGACCTGAGGGTTCGTGTGCATCAACGTTTCAAGTTTGTTTTCTGGTCATATAAGGAAGATGTTAAGATCTTTGAGTTGATGTATAATTGATATACTGGAATAATTCCAGGGATGGAGTATTTTAGAATAGGCTTAAAATGCTGTGGTTGCTTTTCTAATTGAAGCATAGGTGATTTTGGGGAGACTTAACAGAGGTGTACAAGGTTATGACAGGCTTAGATAAGACAGCTGCAGAAAATTCTTCCCATTAGCTGATGGTACAAGGACTAAGGTAGTAGGGTGGGGTGGGTAAAGTGGTTAAGAAAGAATATGGGATAGTTGCCTTTATTGGTGAGGTGTAGAGTTTAAGAGCAGGGAGGGACTCTGGAACTGTATGAAACGTTGGTTGGACCAAGCTTAAGCACTGTGTGCAGTTCCAGAATCCACATTATAGGAGAGAGAGGGCGCAGAAGAGATTTACCAGGATTTTGCCTGGGCTAGAGAGTCTTAGTTATTAAAAGATATTGGACAGGAGATAGTCTCCTCTGCTCCAAGGAAAACGAGGAGGGATTTGGCTGAAATATATAAAATAATGTGGGGTGTGGACAAGGTAGACAAGAAGAAACTTTGTTCCTTGTGGAGGGATAAATGACCAATGGCACAGAATTAAGATAAGGGGCAGAAGGCTTAGAGGGGACGTGAGGAAACGTATTTTTGACCAGAGGGTAATGGGAAGCTGAACTCACTCCCTGTAAGGATGGTAGAGATGGCAACCCTCATAACACTGAAAAAATATTTAGATGTACACTTGCAATGCCAAGGCATACACGGCTATGGGCCAAGTGTTGGAAAATGGGATTAGAATAGTTAGGTGGCTGTTTTTGACTGATGTAGGCTTGATGGGCTGAAAGGCCTTTTTCTGAGCTATAGACCACTATGTCTATGACTATAAGATAAAGATTTTGGGAAAGAAATGCAGGGCCGATGTGAGGAACAGTATATATTTTTAAATGCAGTGAGTAACAACGACCTGCACTTGCTGCCACACGTGGTGGAGGAAGCAGAAACGATCAATGATTTAAAAGGAAAATGAATGAGTAGTTGAAGGAAGTAAATGTGCAAGAATATTGGGCCTGAGCTGGACAGCGGGACTGACTGGATTGTTCCAAGGGGAGCCAGCATGGTTTGTCGGGCTGAAGTGCCTCCCTCTGTGCTGTAAATTTCTCTAGTACCTGATCAAGTTAGGAAGAACCTTCTGCACTTCTCAGCCATGATCAGCAGCTACTTACCTGCAGTTGGAATGACAAGTGCCACAGGGTTTAATCCTGAATCACTGAAATGTAAAGAAGAAATACACATTAGTGCATTTTCAGAACATGGAAACTAACCTAGTAAATCAAAGTGGTGTCTTTTTTTGATATGGATGATACGCTGATTAAATGAAAGAAAAAACAACTGAGCAGAAAAACAAATCTATGCTCTTCGTCTAGATTATTCTCTGTCATTAAAAATTGAAAGATATTGTCTCAGCAGTAAACATTTAGAAAGCTGTCTGCTGTGTGTGCCAGGGTGTGAGCATAAATGAAGGTTTGGTAGGGTATGAGCAACAGACAATTACAACTTGGTCAGTGGCTTATTAGAAATTTTGATTTTATTTAACAGTAAACATGAAGTATTTTAGCTAGAAAATATGTGCTGTATGAACAGAACCCTAAAACAGACTATGTACCTTCTGTATACAACTGCACCACTCCTCTAAATCTTCTAAAGAAATAAATAAAACAAAATCAAACAATAGGTATGATATACAAGATTTTTGAAAGTGCAAGCTGAATGAGATTTATTTTGGCAGGTGGCATAGGGAGAGTCAACATGTACTTAAAAGCAATATTCTAAGAAGTATGCAGGAATAGAGTGAAGCAGAGATTCATATATGGACCAAGGCTAGCAGGACATATTGTGAACATTGTTAGCAAAGCATACGGGATCTTGGGCTGCATAAATTAAAACACTGATTACAAAAGCAGTTAAGTTTTGCTGAACCTTTAGAAAGCTCTGTTGAGGCTACAACTCAAAAATTGAATCCAGTTCTGTTCAGTACACTTTTAAGAAAGACATGAAGACCTTTGAGATGGTGAATTTGAGATTTACCAGAATGGTTCTTTGGATGAGGGGATTTAGCTACAAGGTTTAGCTAAAGAAGCTGAGACTGCTTTCCTAAGAGTTAAGAAGGCTGAGGGAAAATATGAGCAAGGTGTACAAAATTATGACAGGCTTATGTAAGGTAGAGTAAGAAAAACTATTCACATTGTCTAATGATATGAGCACTAAGAGGATATATTGTGGCACAGTGGTAATGTCCCTATCTCTGAGCTAGGAAGCCCAGATTCAAGTCCCATCTAATCCAGAAGTGTGCAATAACAGTTCTAAACGGGTTGATCAGAAAGTATCTATTAGGACTAGGAAAGATAGATATAAGGTTTTAGATAAAAGATACAGACAAGGAAGAACTTTTCTATGCAGTGAATTATAATGGAACTTGCTGTCCAAATGATCTCAATAAGTACTCAAGGGAAATGCAGAGCTATGGGGACAGAGCGAGGGAATGGGACTGACAGGGCTGCTTTCCGTACACCTAGTATGGGCTTTGTGGGCGAAATCCCCTCCTTCTGTGGTGCAATCATAGAACCATGCAGTACAGGAGGCCATTCAGCTCATCGAGTTTACACAAACAAAACCAAATATACATGTTCATTTTCCAGAACTTGGACCACAGCCTTGAATGTTATAACCATTCTCCCTCTGTTTTCCTCCATCTGTGGTTGATATACTTTCTACTTCAGCTTCCAAAGAAATAATACTTACATAAATGTGTAGAGAGTACAGTATAATTAAATGTAAGTGTCGTGGATGAAAGAAGGAATTGTTTTAATGTGCCAAGAGTTGCTTGCAGGCTTATTGAGTTCTGGTTGGTTCTTATTCCCCCCTCTGTCTACCAAGATGTTTGAATGACTATTTTCACTACAGGACATCTGTAGCACCTAAGTGAAAATCCTTTTCTTCATTACATTTGTAGAATGGATTTTGTATTAATACATGTAGTTCATCATTGAAGTTCCATTTATACTCTCAACAATAAAAAAAAGCCTTCCTGGTTACATCCCAATGCAACAAAAATGTCATGAGGTGACAATCCTGTAAGGGAAAGGAAAGAATTCAAAGACAATAAAGTAGGAAGAAATTTCATATATCAGAACATAATTTGCATTTTTCTGTGTTTAGTTCAGTATGAATATTTTAATTACAAGTTACATGAGCTGCATATGCAGTGTTAGCCTGACTCCATTTAAATGCAACTTGAGCCAAGGCTGATTTTTTTTTGAAAGGGTGTAACTACACAGGACGCAAACTGAATGATTTGAAAGTCAGGACATTTATGTGGTGCCAGATTTAGTGACAAACACATTTTTACTGGATATATCAGAATTGGAGTGTTAAGCCTTTGGTGATAGCCAGTATGTACATCGAAGTGGAAGGAATCAACTGATTCACAGCATCACGCCTCAGTTGGTCAACAAGTATCATCATAAATTAGAAAAAGTAATCTGAAATGGTCCAGCTTGTGAACTGGAATTCAGATGTTAAATTTGGTATAAAAGGATTGGAACGATGATGATCTTGTTACACCACCAGGTGATTTAACGTGCCAAAAACCTAAGTGACTGTATTATTTCTCTCTCTCACTTTTCATGCACAAAAAAGGATCTCATGCTATTTTACCATGCAACAGAAACTCAGTGTCTTGCATTACACTATGGATGGATCGGAAGTCAGAATCCTGAATCCATCCTCAAATTAATCTTTGTTGGAATCGTCAGGACTTTACCATCAAAATAATTTTCAACTCTCCCACCAAGAGAAAAAAAGATCAAACAGTGATAAAATCACGTGTAAATAAAGTTCTGGGCATTTCAGTCCAAGAGCACTCACATTGCTGCTTGTTTGTGTAACCACTGCTGGCAGGCGTTAGAATCCTGTAGACACTGAAGAACATCTGTGAGCATGTTGCGTTTTAGACGCTCTTCCTCACGATGCACCTTCAAGCAGTCATATACTTTGGCGCCTATACAAGATACGATCAAAGCACCATGAGAAATAGGAACATTCTAGAACAAAAAATATTCCAGCAACTTCTCCAACACAACATTTCTTTACAGTGTTCTAAAATGATGTAACAGGGGGTACTGTTACAAACAACTGTTAATAAATCCAATTTGTAGGACTAAAAAGTAATTTCACAAAATACAAACTATATTCTTAGTACATATCATACCTGTAATAATGTTGTTTATCAAATTTAAATAATGAAAGTTGCTCTAGACATTCTTTGCAGCAATTTAATTGCGATTTTCACTGACTCATTTTCAGATTACGTAACTAGAGGACACAAATAATGATTTAAACAGCAAGATAAAACTCATAGGCACCAGAGGAGGAGACAAATCAGAGCATCAAATCCACATCAGCTCTCTGCAGAGAAATTCAGTCAGACCCATTTAACATCCAGCTATCCTGTCGTCACGAAAGTTTGTTTCCCTCAATTTCTTGTCCAATTTGTCCATCATCTGATTCCTGCAATTTTTAAAACTGCGCACTTCTTCAGTCATTCCATACACACTGCTACTTGGGCCTGGATATTAACAGGATTGGCTGCATAGGCTGAGAGGGAGTATGGGTCCAGAGTTTTCAATGGAGAATCCCAAGACACGAGTTTCTCCAAATGCTGAAGTTTTAACCTCATAAAATGTGTCTACAACAGATTTCCAACCTCAAGATAGCCTACATAACAGGTAGGTCTGATCTCAAAACTCAAAGCATTTAAACTGCCATGACAGCAATGGATGGTTGGAGTTAGGGTGAGATTTTTAAAATTTTCAACATCTGACTTCTCTTTAAAACCCATCATTTTGTCTTCACCAATAAAACAAAAAAATACCAACACTAACTGGTTATCAAGCCCAGCTATAAGAACGGAGAAGACAAGTGAAAGAAAAAGTAGAGATAAAAGAAATTCTCCTAATGAATTACACTTCATTCCAATTGTTTTATCATTAAACCACACACCAGGGCTAATTAACTATTAATATAACCAATTAATCACTGAGTGCAGTTCCGTGAATTAAGTTGCTCAAGATGACAAAAACGCAACTGGAACTAAAAGTATATTTCACTTTGTTACCAGCCAGTTAATTCACAAAACAGATGAGAAGATATTATTTGATGAAATGGAAATCCATTAAAAGTGATGTAATCCATTGACTGCAATGTATGAACAAGACACTGCCTCTGCTCAAAACACAAGTAGTACCATTTGACGGGATATCTTTTGGATTCAGTTGGGCTTCTGATGTCTGTAGTGATTGTAAGAAGGTCAGCTAGGGTGGACCAGATTAACAGTCCCAATCAGGGAACCCTGGGTGACAGATAGAAACAGGGCTGTCAGAGGCTCTGTTCACTCAGAGCTGGCCTTGAGGAAGCTGGATCAGTGTTAAGGACTCTCCACGTGTAAAAGAATGACTTGGTGATTGGATACCAGCCTCTGTGGAGTTATTTCAGTGGAGAGTCTTTGACACTGATCCAGTTTCCTCAGAGCCATCTCTCAGAGTGAACGGTGCCTCTGAAACTCCTGTTTATATTTGTCAGCCAGGGCCCCCTGGTTGGACCAGATTAACACCCCCCAATCAGGAAATTCATATTCTATGAGGTCCACCTGACTGACCTTGTTACAATCACTATATCCACCCCACTTTGAGTCCGAGGACATAGGCCAGTTCATTTTTCAGTAGCTCCTCCTGGGGTGTTTTCGCACAGGATCAGGTTCCTCCAACTCAGCCTCTGATATGGGTGGCGTGTAACGCATGGTCTCTCGCCTCTTGCACCTGGAGCTCTGAAGAAATTCATTCTCCTCTTCAGGCAGCAAAGGCGTTTACATCCGCTGTGTCCATCTCAGATTCCAACGTATCTTCAATGCTTGACGGAGAGGGAAAACCCACAGGTTCTGGAGCAGTCAGAAAGGCAGTCAAGGAGCCAGGCACGTTTTGCTCGTACACCGTTTGCAAGTTTGCAGCTTCACATGGTCCTCGTGCTTGCTCAGGACTGTTGCACCCTACCTGAACTTCATCGCTGGATCTGATCTCACATTGACCATGCATCTTACCCATGCAGGACCGTTCCTGTGGTTCCTACAAACTTTGTCCCCTGAAGCAAATCGTCTCTCTTGCTTAGCAGAGTCCTGCGTCCGGCACTAGTGTTCCCGATGTCATTTCAATGTCCGCAAAATATTTCATAGAAGAAAGGTTACAAGAAAAAAAGTCACGGAAGTGGTTAATAAGGTGCAGACAGATGAACAGTCTCTCAGAATAAATCTCCACACTTTTCTCCACATAATTCTTCAAACAAAATAGGTAAGATGTTATTTTCTTTTTGAACTGGATGGAATTGGATTTGGAAACATAAAGGCTCTTGGTTATTACAGGAATGACTGCATCAGTAACAATCAGAAAATACTCAGCGCCTTGATAAAAAATTTTGCTTGCATGAGAGCAATGGAAAGTACTTCTTCCCTCTTTTCTAAAGTTTAAAGTTATTTTGACAATGCTGTTCCTCAGAATTAAAATGCGATTCATAAAATTTTATTGAGTATACATAAAAATCACAACAGCATATGCACACTAAGACTTTTTCTTAATACATTAATGGGTTCAGATACTATGGCATTCATTTTCATAATACAGTATAGCTTTCTCTCTCAGAACATTTGTCTGACCTGCTGCTTTGACATTTATGAACTTAAGAGAAAGCATACTTATTTAATAACATATCCAAACAACTCACCACGGAATGTGAAGATTCCTGCCCGTCTGTATTCTTGCAATCGTTTGATCTCTTTCCGAAGTTCAAAATCCACTATGAGAAATAAATATTGGTAGAAGGATAATTTTTAATTGAATTTTCACAACTGTACCCCTTACACTCAAAACGTGGTATTTGGAGATTCAAAAACAAAATAATTCTAAAGAAGTTGCTGAGAGTTTCGAATTTTGATATTTGAATAACAAAGTTATGATGAGCATGTTAAGGAATTTAAATGCCAGAGATCGCTATTTTTCAGATATTCAAGAGAGTAAACAAAAGCAGAAATAATGATAAATTTTTAAAAATCTTTTAAGTCAAGGAATTAAATGATTGCTATTTTGGCCAATGATGTTGTCATTCAAGGCAATAGGCAAAATATTGCCTTGTCAGGATGGTGAATGGCATGGAGGGAAACTTGGAATTAGTGGTGATCCCATATATTTGCTGCCCTCATCCTGCTAGATGGTGGGTTCACAGATTTGGAAGATGCTATCTAAGGAGCCTTGGTGAACTTCTGCAGTGTGCCAGTGGCAGAGGGAAAAAAATGTTTGTAGATGTGGTGCCAATCAAGCAGCCTGCTTTGGCCTTGATAATGTCAAGTTTCTTGAATGTTGTTTGAACTGCAGACTTCCACGAAAGTGATGAGTTACTCGCTGCAGGAGTCCTAGCCTCTGACCTTGTGTCTCCACAGTATTTATGTGGACCGATAATTTGATTTCTGATAAATGGTAGCATCCAGGATGCTGATAATGGGAGGATTTGGTAATTGTATCAAGGGGCAGTGGTTAGATTCTCTCTCGTTGGGTAAGTCAATTGCCTGGCATTTTGTGGTGCAAATGTTACTTGCCACTTTCCAGGTCCTGTTGCATTTGGACGTTGATTGCTTCAGTATCTGAGGAGTCACAAACGTGCAATGTTCAGCACCAGTCATATTAGATGCAGCTGAAGACAGTTGGGCCTAGAACACTATCCTGAGGAGCTACTGCAAAGATTCCTGGAGTAGAGGTAACTGATCTCCCACAACCAACCTCCTTTGTGTTAACTAGTTTGCCCCGATTCGCACTGGCCCCAGTTTTGCTAGGGTTCTGTGATGCCATACTCAGTGAAATGCTGTCTTGATGTCAAGAACCGTTACTCTCATCTCACCTCTGGAATGCACTTTTTTTGCCCATATTTAAACTAAGGTTGTACTGAAATCAGGAGCAGAGCGGCTGTTACAGAACTTAAACTGAATGAGTGAACAGGTTACTACTAAGCAAGAGCAGCTTGATAGCACTGTAGATAGCACCTTCCGTTGCTTCACTGAAGAGTGGGTACACATGGTTGTCATGTTAATTTTAAAAGGCGGTAATTACTGTGAGAACAAAGGAAAACATATGAATATTACATACATGTATGGCTTTCTATAAATTTGTCATGTTCTGTAGGTCCCAGTAGTCTTGCAAAATGTCTCACAGCTTTGTAGAGGTCCTGAACTTCTTTAGGATACCGTCAATTGCTTTGTTCGAACTGTCATGCTTTCTGTATACAGGACATAGCTGAGCAATATTCCACATTGTTGGTAGATGGCAGTGTTGAAGATGTACTGGAATAACTTGGCAAGAAATGCAGCAAGTTCTGGTACACACATCTTCAGTACTATGTCAGAATGTTGTCAGGTCCACAGATTTTGGAGCATCCAACACCTCCAGCTGTTTCTTGATATCACATGAAGTGAATCAAATTGGCTGAAGGCTGGCAGCTGTGATGCTGGAGACCTCTGGAAAAGGCCGAGATGGATCATGCACTTGGCACTTCCGGGTGAAGATTGTCACGATTGCTTCAACTGATACAAGCAGTGCTACTTTGCTGGGCTTCCCCTTTATTGAGGATGGAGATATTTGTGGTGCTGCCTACTCCAGTGATTGGTTTAACTGTCTGCCACTATTCACAACTAGTGCGGCATGCTTGCAGAGCTTAGATCTGCACTCTTTACTAAACCTAGGTTGGTTCCCTTGCTAGACAGTAATAGTGGAGTGGCAAATATGCCAAACCACAACGTTGTTGGAAGACTGTGTTGAGAGTATGATCCCGCTGCTGATGGCCATCATGATTCCCAAGTCTCTAGTTGTTGTATTTGTTTGAATTCTTTCCCATTCAGCACAGTGATAGTGCTACACAACACAATGCAGTGTATTCTCAATGTGAAGACAGAATTTTGTCTTTACAAGGTCTGTGCAGTGGGCACTCTTACTGACACTGTCATGTGACAAATGCATCTGCAACAGGTAGATTGGGGAGCATGGGGTTATACATAACTTACCCTCTTGTTGGTTTCCTTAATGCTTGCTGCAGACCCATTATTGTTAGTCACCTTACCACAGATCCAGTCTAGCAGCAATGTCCTAAAAGACTCAACCAGCTTAACCAGTAGTGATGCTGCCAAGCCACTCTTGGTGGTAGGCATTAAAGTCCCCTACCCAGAGTACATTGTGCACCCTTGACACCCTCAGTGCTTCCTCCAAATGTAGTTCAACAGAGATGCCATTTTCATGTTAATTTTAAAAGGCTGCAATTACTGTGAAAACAAAGGAAAACATATGATTGTTACATACATGTATGGCTTTCAATAAATTTGTCATGTTCTGTAGGTCCCAGTAGTCTTGCAAAATGTCTCATAGCTTCGTAGAGGTCCTGAACTTCTTTAGGATACCGTCGTTCAAGAACTGCAATTTTATAACAGGACATTTTTGAATGTATTTTTACAACTGTTACAAGGTGCAACTGCAATTACTCCTGGTTAAACTTCATTTTAATGTCCAATACTTTTGTTTGTTGTCATGCATTTATAATTTCTAGACATTCCAATGGCGCATTTCCTGGATAGAGACTCATAGCAGTTAAATACCATTAACGGGTTTCAATGAGTTCAGTGAACTGTCAGCAGTTTAAATAGGAAATTAATTGCTGAATGAATTATTACTAAGCAAAAATTTTTTTTAATACTACTTCATGACTTTTCACTCTGATCAAGGGCAATTTATAAACAAAATTAATTTCTTCTAATGCAACTTTCTCCCTGGTTTTCTCTCTCTTTGTCTAAAGATAATTTTTTTTCTTTCTCTGGCTGTACAAATCAGAAACTTTGCTTCTGCCTTTTTTCAGTTTCAGAGATGGTAGGAACTGCAGATGCTGGAGAATCTGAGATAACAAGGTATAGAGCTGCATGAACACAGCAGGCCAAGCAGCATCAGAGGAGCAGGAAAGCTGACGTTTCAGGCCTAGATCCTCCTTCAGAAATGAAGAAGGGTCTAGACCCGAAACGTCAGCTTTCCTGCTCCTCTGAT